GCAGGGTTGCTGGTGACACCCGTGTGGCACACCGAGCGCTCAGGGCAGGCCGCAGCACGTGGCGTCTGTCGTGTTTGGTGCTTGCCAGTGGCCAGTTAGCAATTTATCTTTTGTAATCAATCTCTTTTTGCCATAATTATGACTTTTGAGACACCTTTCCTATGATGAAAGGCTGCAAGAATTGGGCTTGTTCAGCCTGGAGAAGAGGAGGCTCCGAGGAGACCTCATTGCAGCTTTCCAGTATCTGCAGGGGGCCTACAAGGAAGCTGGGAGAGGACTTTTTACAAGAGCCTGTAGTGATAGGACAAGGGGTAATGGGTTTAAATTGAAAGTGGGGAGGTTTAGATTAGATATCAGGAAGAAGCTCTTCCCAGAGAGGGTGGGGAGCAGTGGGACAGGTTGCCCAGAGAAGCTGTGGATGCCCCATCCCTGGAAGGGTCCAAGGCCAGGCTGCATGAGGCTTGGAGCAACCTGGTCTGGTGGAAGGTGTCTCTGCCCATGGCAGGGGGGGAGGAACAAGGTGATCTTTAAAGTCTCTTCCAACCCAGACCATTCTATGTTTCTGTGATTTGTCCCTTTCCCCGTGACATGTAGGTGGCGGTGTCATCTTCTGAGTTTCCGGACTGGTGCCTGCCGTTTACCCTCTCCAGAGCAGCGTCTTCCCCCTGGCCAGCAGACCAGCCAAGCTGTGAGGCAGGACCCATCACTAGGGCACGTCTGCTGCAGAGTGCCTGCACTTACCTCTTGAGACAGCAAGTGAACAGCCACACACTGACAGCGGTTAAGCTTTAGGAGGCACTAGGCTCCAGTCCAGCTACCCTAGTTCTTCTATACAAGCGCATGTGAGAGCAATAGTACATCATCAGCAACGTCTTAGTAACCATAGAGGAAATGAGCGTAGTCAGCAGAGGCGTTTTCCCATTTTAGTAGTCATGATTTAGTTTCAGACTTAATAGTTCAGTGGTGCCAAGACTGAGAAGGCCGGAAGGAGAAGGCCGTTCTGCATCTGCCACTCTTGCCCAGTTCCTCGGTGCTGAGCATCTTGCGGTCCACTTGTAGCGGGAGTGACTGTAGTTACACCTGAGCTTGTTGCTTTGATTGTGAGCAAGAGATTTTTTTTTTGCTTCCCCCCAGTAAACACTGTATGTGAGACATTAACATTTCCAAACACACATTAAAAGAGCACTTAGCGATGTTCAGCTGGTTGGATCGCTCAATTGGTTGAACAAAGCTAACCCTGTAATTTGCATAAAGGGTGTCTTGCACATGAATGAATATGAGGGAGTGTGGTATGATGTGTTCTCTTTGCTGGACTGGTATGATGTGTTCTCTTTGCTGGACTGCTCCTTCCGGTGTCCTCGAGCAGATGAGTATGAGAGCAGATGGGTATGAAAGACGGTAATAGCCACAGAGAAATTATTTTTTCTGTTTAGCCATTCTAAAATGTTTATGTTTTTATGTGGCTCATATGTGTAGCAGGAGGCCAAAGGGCACCAGAATTGCAGTTTTTCTCATTCAGTCTGTTAGCGGGCTTTACGGAGTCCTCCGCCCAGAGATCTACACTTCTCATGAGACCCTCTGTGGAGGGGCTGGGGTAGGCTTAGTTTGGCTCGCGCTTTGTGTGGGTTCTCTAAAGAAAAGAAGGGGCAGGGAGGCAGGTGTGAATGTAGGCAATGTTCATTCGGAAAAATAATCAGCAGGATTTTTGGTGTTTGTTAATAACCATCGATCTCTGCACTGCAGGTGGGCCCTGTGGTACCAAACCTGTGTATGGATAGTTCCAGAGTACTGACAGGGGTTTGGAGTTAGTTCACCTGACACTTCCCTTCCTTCTGCAGAGGTTAACTGACGTGGGAGAACACCTCTGGCAGAGAAGTCACAGGATGTTTTCTGAAATGCCCTTGGAGCCGTCCTCCCTCTTCTGCTAGATCTTAAGTATTACTTCATGCAGTAGGTTCTAGGCAGGACTGGTGCTGAGCTACACAAAACCCAGCTCTGAGGCTTTTTCTCTGCCTTTGATTCCCCACCCACCTTTCCTCCTTTGCAGAAAATTAGCGTCCTGGCTTGCCTTCACCAGGTAGGGGAGAGCCTTGCTCTCTCTCAGAGCCTGAAAGCCAGACTCTTAGGTGAGGCCATGTTGCCATCCAGCTCACCTTTGCAATGTATTTTTGTTTGCAGAGCATGAGGAGTTCTTCATGGCTCCTTCCTGCACCTAGTTCTTCTAGTCTGAAATTCAGTTCAGTTTAGACATCCCTTCCTCCTCCTTTTTCCCCACAGCTACAGTTGCTAAAGTGATTGACAAATTTGAGGATGAAACTGCAGATGACATTTTCCCCGTGGGTAATATACGAAAAAAAGCTTCGGTCTCTCTCTTGGAAGCTGATAAAAGGTACTGTGGAAAAGCTACATCTCGCAAAGCCTTGCAAGAAGAGCTCTGGGGAGATGCTCTGTCTGAAGAAGGATCTGGTAAGAAATCTCATTGCTTCTTTCCCCTTTTCATTGGACTACTCAGAGTTTGATGTTAACTGAGCTAGTGCCATCTGGACTGAGATAACAAAGTTTAGGTCCCTGTTACAGGTCAATAAGCAGCTACAGTTAAGTTGAACATCTTCTTGAAGTGCCTTCCTGAAATTCAGGCCGTATTTTTTGGTCTGAGAGGAGGTCACTTCTACAGATGGAGGAAAGAATGTGATGAAGTGTAAGGTGAGGTGCAGTGCACTGACCGAACATTGTGCGAGGGAAAAGAAACAGCTCCCATTTTTAAGCAAATAAGTCTCAGGGTCTCCAAGTATGTGCAGATTCTCATTTTTGCATATAGCAAATTTTGACATCTTGTTTGCTTACTTCATTGTTTCGTGGGAAAACTGAGCCATGGATACTAACCGTTGCTGCAGAAAACGTGAGCTGAGATGTTTTTGTGAATATGGCCTGGTGTTTCCATTATTTATCCAAAACGAAAAATAACGTACACCGATGAAAGGGAGTTTGGAGCTCCAGTAGCCCAAACCTGTAGCTATTGCTGGTGCATACTGCAAAGTGGCACGTGTTACTGGTGAGTAAATAACTTTTTTCTGTTTCAATTATTAGCTGAAGAAGCCTTAGATGAATGGTACAGTGGCAGTGAAGATTCAGAAGAGAATGGCAGCTTAGGCCCTAAAACAGAGGAGAAGCCCAGCAGTGCTGGCAGTGACCAGGAGGATGACTTGGAAGACGATGAAGAGGCAGAGCCATCTGTCAAGGCCAAGGCACCAAAGTTCAGTTTCCAGAATATCGCAGACTTTGAGAAATTTACAGAGGGGATGGATGATGTAGGAAGCAGTGAAGGAGAAGATGAAGATGGTTCCAGCATGGAAGAAGGAAGTGAAGAGGAGGAATGTGGGAGTGAAACCCAGGACAATATAAAGGAAACCAAAGACAGTGAAGATGATGGCGGGGTGATGACCTTCTCAAAAGGACAAGAGGCTGAAGAAGTAGAAAAAGGAAAAGCTGTGAGGAACCAGCTAGGTTTGTGCATGTTTGCTTTGTATTTTGACAAGACTTGCACCTTGCAGACACTGTAGAAACTGGCCATGTTAGGAAGCACTTCAGCATGTTAACGTGCTGTTAGCATACTGCATGTGCATGCTACAGCGACCCTGGTGATTTGCAAATGTTCTGCCAAAACTGCTCTACAAACTGGTGTCACTGCTGGTACTAAATCTCATGTTATAACGAGTATTTATCCACTGGCTTAATTGAACCAGTACTGAAGGTACTTATACTATTGGTGGGGCGCCTACACTGGTAGTGTTGTGCAGCGATGCTGATTGTTTCTTTTCAAAATGTAATGCCCGGTGCAGTTTCTTTCTGTCCTATTAAACTGTCAAACCTCCATTTTCAGAATGTCCTTTCAAACAGTAAAGCAAAGGGATGATTTTTTTTTTTTTTTGTGGATCACTGAATTGCAGTCAGGATCGTAGGGTGGGATGCTGCTTTGTCCAGAGACACCTTGTACCAATTTTGTGCTTGGTCAGTGAATGCAAAGGTTTGCGCTAACCAGTTTTGCTCCTGCAGCCTGCAGGAGGGCGCCTGTGCTCTTAAATCAGCAGCTCCTTCACAAGGAGTAGGTGCTTTGGCTTGCTAAATAATTGTTTTATTTTCTCTTTGTTATGAAGCACTGTGGGATCAACTGTTGGAAGGGAGAATCAAGATGCAGAAGGCGCTCGTAACAGTCAACCGGCTTCCACAGCCAGATACTTACCCAATCTTCAGAAAGAAAGGTGGACAAGCATTTGACAACGCTGTCGAGAACTGTAAGAGTTCTTCAATCTTTCTGCTTTGGGTAGACTCTGCTGTAGCCAATATGTTTTGCCTGTGTGTGGAAGCGTTAATGGGGAAGTGCGGGCTTTGAGTGTCTGTAGTATTAGCTATTGGTTTGTATCGCCTCAGTCGTTAATTAGGTACTGTGCAAACAAACAAAAAGTGTTTCCTGCCCCAGGCAAAGGAAAAATCTCGTATCACCCTCGTTTCTATATGCCTGGGTTCTCTCTGCTTGTGGTCTGGTGTTGCTGGTGGCGTTGGAAAGCCTCAGCTAGCGTCCTGCTGCCATTTCTAGTTAGTGTGGAGATTGAAGTTTGCTTATCAAATGTAACTTTCATGCTGGATCTTAGAAATAGTTGGTTTGGTTATTGCGGTTCGGTGCGGAGTTGCGGTGCTGCTTTGTCCAGAGACATCTTGGGGTACCAGTTCTGTGCTGGGTCAGTGAATGCAAAGATTTACCCTGACTAGGGGTAATGTAGCCCAGAAGAGAGGGCCTGTGCTGTTAAGTCAGCAGCAAATAGCTTTTCAGCTTGGAGCTGCTTCATATTTTTATTTTTTTAGGATCACAGTTAATAATGTTGATCTGATGTGTAGTAGGTTCTTCAGTATGGCAAATGGAATGTGCACACTCAGCTGGCAAGTGCAAAACAGTCAACTTCAGTGTGTGGTGAATCGATTTAATTTTTAGAATTAGACACCTATTTACTGGCCTTAAGGTAAATGCACAGTGAGATAAAGTGTCTGGTATTTTATCCTTAGGAATAAATGCAGTCTACTCCAGATATTAGTTGGTGTCCATTTCTCCCTGACATGTTTGCTCTTTTCTGTCAAAAACCACACAGGTGATGATGTTTATACACAGATTGTTCTTTTTTCTAATCCTGGTAGTCAGAAATCAATGAACTTCATAGGATATTCTTCCAGTGGTTTTGGATAATAAAGATAAGACCAGTAGCGTTACTACTGGCCGTACCTGCGCATTGAGAAATTTTGTCCTGGGCTGGCCCAGGTCATCTTAAAACTGGATTAGGAACTTCCACCATCATCAATCCTGACCTGAATCTTGCCCCTACGCCAAGTTTTGACTATCATTTTTCAGCTTATACCTGATCTGAACATGTCAGCTAATCAGCTTATCTGGAGTTACAGCAGGTGGGATACTTCATATTTTAAAGTTAGCTCTGCTGCTTTAAATGAAGTGATTAAGGAAAAAAGGCAAACTCCCAACAATACTAAGCTGACCTTTCAGTGAAATGCATGTTATTAATGTGTTTAATGAGATGCATTACAAACTGCACCGAGCACCATGTTTCATTACAGGTGTAAAATGCAGTATCATTAAAGACCTTTAACAGAAACAATGGTTGACATTTTGGTATTTCCCATAAGCAAAATACATCCAGGAACATGGAGTATAATACTGCACACAGTACAGCAGAGAGGTTAATCTTTCAGTTGTCCGGAACGCTGAGGGAAAATCGCTGTCAGTAACTGCTCAGCGATTCCCTCCCCACCCTCTTTTCATAATCTGGGCAGGAAAGCTGCAGTAGTGTACTCTGATGTTCCTGATAACCTGGGTTCGTGTTCTGTATTTTGTGAAAATGGCAAGAAAATAAAGCTGGGTGACCCGGATGAAGTTAGCAGAGGAGGTGCTCAGACTGGCAGACCGAAGTGATGAATTTAGGAACACTCTGGTAGTACTACACTTGTTTAGTGTTTTCTGGTGTTCTCTAGGGGATGAAATTTAAACCCTTTTTTAGAATTTCTGTTTTTTAAAAAAGACAACCTGTAATTGTGCAGTAAAGTAGGTTGCAATAAAAAGTGATTTTTGCTGAGCTGCACTGTTGTCCAGGGCAGCTGTCTTTAACTGCTCTGCAAAGCTGCTTTTTCCACAAGTTACAAAGTGCCAAACATGAAATAAGGTGTAAATTTATACGTGAAGATCTTCTGTAGGACTAGGGATGTAGTTAGGTGACAAAGACCTGTTTCACTCTCACTTTGCTGTGTTAGACACTGGGAGGGAGATTTGTGTCTGACCAACAGCTTTACCCTGTGGGCAGCCTGCGCTGTGTTAGATCTTCACTCATGGAGCTTTTGCCGGGGGAACAGGGCTGTGACCTGTCTCTTCAAGAACTGAAACTAAGTCCTTTCTGAAAATATACATCATAATATATTTAAAGTTCATTAATTGGTGCACCTTAATTTATGAGGGGAGGAAAAATCTCACTTGTTTAAGTCAGCTTCCAATGAAAGTCCTAGTTTTTAGCTGATCAAGTGGCTTAGTGGCTTCTATAAAAATAAACTATTTTTAGTCACTTCTGAACAGTGATGTAGTGGGCTGGGTAAACATTTCCTGAGTCCCTAGTTCTCTTCCCAGTTGTGTCACCAGCTTATGGGTAGGATCCCTTTCCCCAGACAGGAAAATTGGAAGAATTGTGCATGAGAACGTTTAAAGATGAGTTTGGGACAGGACTCTGTACATCTTGAATGTTGAGGTGGTTCCATTGTACGTGATGTGCTTCAGACTTGGACAGGATTTGGGGTATCGTGACATTTGTACTGTTTTGGACTGGGTGATACTCTCCCTTCAGGGAAGCCTCAACACTTCTTTCCAAATCCATGAAGTACATTTGGCATGCTTTCATCATCTTAATTGAATAGGACAAAATGATTTGAAATTGCACAAAGCAGCTGGTGCCAAAATCCAGGCTGCTGAGGGCACAGAGAGGTCTCGTCACCCAGCTCTCTCTGAGGTCCTGGACAAGCCCCTCGCACCTCTTTGGAAGGTGCCCCAGAGGGCTTTCAGTAATTCCTCCCAAGTCCTCCCATTGCTCCTGAAATTTCTGCTCCGTGCTCACAGGAGGGATGATTTTTTTGAAACAGGAAACAGTCCTTCCTGTATTTGCCTCTTTGGTATCTTCCTCTTGTGACAACCCTCTATGCAGCTAGTCGTGGCCACGAAATTCCTGAAGGGTTTGAGTAGAGTTGTGTTAAAGAGGAGACAGAAATGCTGTCTGCAGTTGCAGTTTTAAAGCTGAATCTGAGTGAAAGTGGTAAGGTCGTGCTTGTTTTCCAAATTTTGAGACTGAAGGTTACAAAACTTCAGGTATTTAATTTACTGGTTTTTGTAATCTTTTATGATTTTTTTTTTTTTAAATGATACAGCGTGCCTTGGATAGTCTTGGATTCCTGAGATCTCAGGTTCTGGTGGATGATTTACTGCAAAATTGCTTATAAATTGAAGTAGAAAATGTTTTGCAGACCTGGCAGCTTTCAGGCTTCACACCCATTTGTCACCCAGTATTTCCCTTTGTGTATAGAACAAGAATTAATTAGGCTGCACTGCAGGAAAAGTTTATGGCCATAATTTATATAGGATGAATTTCTGTTTAAAGAGACAGCATTGCTTTGTTTGCACTGTCTTTTTTTCTTTCAGGGTGTTGGTTTTTTTTTTTTTTTAATCTTTAATTATATTCCAGATTTTTTTCTGTCACCCTTTTTACATACAAATTGGAGACCAAACTGTGGGCCTGGAGCTCATGTTTATTCCTGTTTTGCATCCACGGAGAAAGTCTGAGTGGTTTTTAATACTGAAATCACAGTGGCTGGGCTCTGAATGCAGTGCAGATGTTTAATGTTTAATGCACTGCACACGTGAACTCCCGCAGCTTACGTTTCTAAGGTGCTGTTGCCTGGAGTGGTCTGTTTCTCCAAGATACATTTGTATTCTCTTGCACAGTATCTTCCAGTCTAGTCCAGGGCTTGAGATGTTGCCTCTGTTTGGGGTCTTGCACGTTCAATTAATGTTTTTCATAATCAATGCAAGTCAGAATTTGCAATCTGCTCCTGATTTGCACATTAAAGAGACCCATTAATTAAAAATTCCAATCCCTGGCATGTTCCCGCAGGATCCTTGCATTATTTACATAGAAAAAGAGTGCAAGGTGCAAGTTTCTGTGCTGTGTCTGGCACAGATTGCATGCCTGCCATTCATATTTCTATGTATGTTTTCAAGAGGGAGGGAGGTTAGAAGTGGATCTCATGAAAATGTCACCAAAAATTACCTCAAGGGCAAGAAAGAGCCAAAGAAGAGGTGGGAGCAACATTGGCGAAGCCACATCCAGTGTCAGGAATTAAACGGTCCTAGGTTTGGGGCTTGTTAAGTTAAATCTTGTTTTAATGACAAAAACCCCAGCTGATTGGGGGGCAGGGGGGCAACAGGAGTGTTAAGAAATGGTACCTCTCAACCAACAAAGGCTGGAAGCTGTTGTATGTGCCCTGGGTAGCTGGGCTTCCCAGTACTGTCTGTGACTTCAGTCACGTTCTCTTTGTCGTTCCAGTTAAAAATACCAGGCTGGGAATGTTTCAGTGACTAGTACTTTGTGCTTCACAAAAAGAGCTGGGAATTCTACCTTTTATATACTCTGAATGTCTTATTCTCAGTTTTTAGTTGGTGAGATGAGGAGTGAAAAACATACGGAAGCCCAGGTGAGGCTCTTGCAGAAGGCAGGATGCTGATGGAGATTGCAGGACTTTAAACGGACGAGTGGTTGTATACGTTTTTGTATGCATGTGCTTTCACTTTCCAGGAGTTCTGTAGGTCCCTGAAATGTAAACTGCTGGCTACATTTTTGTGGGTTTTCTTTTGCGTTGACTCGATCTGTCAGTGAATTAAGAGAAAATATTGGAATCCCACATTTCTGGTCTTCAGCGTGATCTCAAGGCAAGTTGTGGAGAAATGGAGAAAATGCTGCTTTTGGTAACAGGTGGATGTGCAGGGTCTGTAAGAATGGATTTGCTCACTGGAGGAACAAAAGTAGGGACAACAAATATTAACTGTTATTTACACTTCTTGGAGCTGTGAAGAAGTTATACAAAGGTTTGTGATCAATAAGAAAATAAACCTGAATAAAGTGAATCAGATAAAAATCCCAAATGAGATGCCCAGTGTGCTTGCAAGGCCATTATCCCCAAAGCTGCCTGAGCTGTTGTG